CATGTTGAACTCAAATACCTGTACTTTCTACTTCTTACATGTTGAACTCAAATACCTGTACTTTCTACTTCTTACATGTTGAACTCAAATACCTTTACTTTCTACTTCTCTCATTTTCCAAACAGGCTGGTTCCTTTAGTCTGAATGTGTGTTTGGTGGCGTGATCATTATTATTTAGAGTCATTGCGTGCCTATTGATTTGAACACGATCCGTGTATCCATCATTTCCTGGTCTTCTCTAAAGAAGAGGGACCAATGAAAACGTTGTCATGTTGCCGTTGGTCACCATGGAAACATTCATTAGCTAACAATGACATTATTGTTCTATTAATATAAAGGGAGGTCAGGTACTCTTTAAAACAGCTGCTAGTTATGGGTACTTTTTACTGAAGGACATTTCAAAGCCTCTTTACTTTCACTTGAGTAAAGAAGTTTAGTCAGTACTTCTACTTTCACCAGAGTATTTTTAAACACCAGTATCTGTACTTCTACCTGAGTAATGGATGGGTGTAATCTTGCCATCTCTGTATATCTTACCTTATCTTAGGCCAAGAGGGTGAATCAACACGACATCTGCTCCGAAATCGTCCCCAACGACTTCTCCTCCAAGCTGTTCTTCGACCCCGGCACCTACCGGTGTCTGGAGAACTGCGGCAGCGTCGCTCTGAACGTTGTGCGTCGCGGAGGAGATCCCGGGAACACCGTCTGCGTGGATTACCGAACAGAAGACGGCACCGCGAACGCAGGGTCAGATTACAGATTCACCGAAGGGACTATCGTGTTCAAACCCGGGGAGACGGAGAAGGAGATCCGTATCGAGATCATCGACGACGACATCTTTGAGGAAGACGAACACTTCTTGGTTCACCTCAGCAATGTGAGGGTGATATCACCGGGCGGGAACAACCACGTGGACGCCCTCGCCGGGCTAGGTTTGCCGTGCTCGGCCACCGTCACGGTATTTGATGACGACCACGCTGGGATCTTTACCTTCGAGGAGCCGCAGGTGACCATCAGCGAGAGCGTCGGCATGATGGAAGTAAGTACAAATCTCTGCAAACAAATCTATTGGCAGAAGAGCGTTCATGTTTAAAGCCCCAACAGACGGGAATACGATATACGATACGATAACACTTTAATGGCCAGTCTGAAATGCTCCTGTCATCACAGCAGCTCCATGTGTAACATCAACAGACACACATCAACACACATGAGAAACAAACAACAACATGGAACATCACAGCAGAGACCTGGGGGGTGTACTACGAAGCAGGATGTTCTCTTAGCGGCTAACTTCAGGTAAACTCTGGGTTTCCGGTCCTACGAAGCTGGTTCTCTTCTTAGCGGGCTAGATCTCCATGGTAACTGATGCTGAGCGGCTAACCTGCCCCGGAGCAGGTTAGGTTGCAGGCTAAGAGCTCAACTCAGTGAAAGCACTGCCTGCTGACCAATCAGAGCTCAGTGTGCGGAGTTTAAAGCGATCAAGTCATATTACAGGAGAAAGGAAATACAGAAAAGCTGCCGTTGCAGGAAAGACGGCCGGCAGAAATCAGCGACTGTGTGAACGTGAACATTAATAGAATATCACCTCCCATCTTCAGAGCAATCTGACTATTAGAACATTAGCGTTAAGAAAGCTTACTTAAATATCTGCCACAACATAAGTAACCGGATCAGAGTAACATTAAGTACAGTCCACGGCATATCACATCATAATGTATCATCTCCTTATCTGAGTCAGCTGAGCCGTATCTGGCCGTGCAACACTCACAGTGTCACATACTGGATGCAGAAGGATTATTTGAAGCAACA